ATCTAGGCCAAAAAGAGGAGCGAAAAGGGGGTCGGATCCAGCGCGATGCCCAATCGAGACGAACAAGGCCAGACCCGCAGCAGTCGCAGGGAGATAGGTTGTCTTGCATAACAGCAAGAAGGTTATCTATTAGAAATGCTAGTAGCTGCAGAGACAAGAAATTTCTGTATGCTAAGTAGAATGCTAATAGGTAGAAGGTAAAGTTGCGCGGCTATTAAAACTCCCTTAAGACTATGTTGTAATTAGCAAGAAGGCAGCGTGTGAGTTTATTATCTAGGTTAGGAGAGTGTGCATCTAGACAGTTAATGTCTACTGCTAGAGTGTATAAAATAGTATTAATGTTGTTAAGTGCATACTTCTGCTCTAATTTAGTCTAAAGCTGGCTAAGGCTATTAGTATAGAGAGCCTAATAGTTAACCTCTCTATAAATGTCTAACTCTACTCTTAGTAAACTCTTACTAGGTGTAAACTCTAGTAGTAGTAAGATGTTAAAACCTTAAGCCTCTCTTTCTAGATAAAAATATATATATTTACTTGTAACATGTTGCAAATTTAACATACCCTCTGTGGCCCCCAGGGGTTAGGCCACTAAATGAAAGAAATGTGTGACAACAGCCCAAATAGCTTAAGACAGTCACGCGTGTAGGCACTAAGCGCATCCTAACTTATGTGCGACGCCTGATAACATTGTGTTCTACCCCTGTAAGGCATTTTCCAGCCTCAGCAGCCACGCGTCGCCTCTAATGCCCTGATCCTCTCGCCATGTGCTGCTGTACTTTAGAATAGTCACAGCTCTAATGCTAGTTTAATAGACAATTTTCTAACCTTTTTTTGCTATCTAGCTTTTAGGCGCTTGCCCTGCTATTAGGACTTTCTACTAGCAGCAGCTGCATCTTTTTTCTACTACCGCGCGGCCTTAGGAGGGTTTGCACTTTGTCTAGTGCTGGCGCACCTAGATCTTGCGCTAACAGAGGCTAAGAATTACTTGTCCTGTAAGCGCTAGCAGTTACCCTATCTCTGCTACTTTAGGTTGTGGAATGCTCCCTATGTGGCTTATGCGTGCCTAATCTGCTATCGCAAACAGCTACCTTATTTCTACTATAGGCCTTGCTAAGAGCAACTAACTAACAGTTAGATAATAGGCTAGAGAAGAAGAGGCTTAAAGAACATAATTCCTCTAGCAGTGCATTGTACTTTGCATGTTCTGCTTTTATTAGTTAAATTGTTAATGGCTGCTATTCTTTGCTATAACTTTTTAACACTTCTGCGCATTACTTTACAGCCTACTTAGTAATTACTAGCTTTATTATCTTGCATAAGTTGTCTGCTGCACTTTTCTCTCTTAGCGCTAGGTTTTATGCTACTTTTAAAATACAAGATATTAATTTGTAAATAGCCTAAGTAATTATAGATACAGGTTTTAAGCTTATCTTCCTAAGATCTTTAGTGTTAAACTGCACTAGGCATTTATGCTGTAGATGTAGGCTAGCTAACTTAATAATAAGAATTAGCATGTCTTTTTATACCTAATGTTTAAACTGTTTAGTATAAGCATCTCTAGCATTGTCTAGGTACTTGTGTAGGTAATGCTTTATTTCTAGGCTAGTAAAATTACTTATTTTGTCTCTAATGTACTCTAAAAGACGTTTCTAGAGTTTTATAGACTGCTTCTCTGCATTATTACTGCACTTTTCCTACAAAGCTAGCAGGAAATTCTTGTGTAGAAGAGGCTTGTTGTTGTTACACTTGCTAACTCTTACAGGATTATAGTTTAGCTATTAGCAAACATAAAACATAATAATGCTTATTACCTTCCTCTTCTGCTTTGTAGTCTTAAGGAGGGAGTAGACGTCTGCAAAGCCTAGGTCTAGTGTTAAAAGCACAAATTAATACAGACTATTATATACATTATTGCTAGCTGTTAAGAAAAGGTTTTGCTATTAGTAGAGAGTAACGTCTTTTTAGTTGTCTAAGTTAGAGTAGAATAGTTATTAAACATCTATAAGCTTTTATACTTATAGAAGACTTACTAACTAAATCTAGTTACTAAACTAGATGTTAATGCTAAATTTACTATGTATTTAAAATATTAAGTTAATTATAGAGTAGAATGTAGTAAACTAGAACTATTATACTCTTAGTGTAATTCTAATTACTCTTAGTAGTATCTACTTATATTGTTAATCCTGCAGCTTGCTATCTATTTAAATGTAAAAATGTTAAATGTTGCTTAGCTAAGCAAGAATTTGCACTATTTTGTAATTATTTGCTTCTAATTCTAATTCCTTTATAAAGTGCCTAGTTGCTTTACTAGAAATTTAACTTAACTACTTAGCCTAAGGTGTTCTAGCATTTGCTGCTCTACTTTTGTCTTTAGGCCCTAGAAAAGTGTATTATCTAAAAATAATAAAGTTACTAACTCTGTCTATATCTAGCTATAGTTATTAGGTAAAATTAAATCTTCTTAGTTAGCTTAAAGCTTAGTGTGTAGATGCAGTAGTAGTGCGTTTTGTTTTGTATTAGCTTGCATTAGTTTGCTTGTCTTAAAAAGGGCAGGTTTTAACCTTTATTATAAATGTTATAAATCTACTATTACTTTTCTTTGCTGTAACCTAAAAGCTGTAGGCGCTTCTTTAGAGCCTCTACTTTATAATTGCCTACTATAAGTTTAGCCTTCTCTTCTACTACTATATTCTAATCTTTAAATAAAGGCTACTTAAACTTCTTTTCTTACATATCCTCTCTTACAGCAGCAACCTGTCTATCCTGCGCCTGCTCCTAGCTAAGATAATCTAGCATCTTCTTTACCTGCTCTTTAGTGCACGCTATTCTAAGTTAATAACCTAGGTCCCTTTAAAGAACGCCTTGTTTACTAAATATCTTATAAAGCTGCTGCTTGTGCGCCTTATTAATAGATTAGTTCCTGCTAACAGTTTATTCTAAGGTAAGTGCATTAATTAGGAATTTTGCTGTTGCTAGTTAATACAGTTTTGCTAGCTTATAAACTAACTCTATCTTTTTAAGGGCTATAGCTTTAGACTTAGGCTTTTAATAACACTGCTTCTTTCTTCTCTTACTAGAGGTTAATAGGTTTTAGTGTTTTATTTTATAATAGGTCTAGTGTTAAATGTGAACAAGAAGATAGCAGGAAGAGAGAAGGTAGAGAGAAGGCAGAGAGGAAGCGCAGGCGGTTATTTGTTTTAGTAAAGCCACTTTAGTTTTTACTCTAAGGGGTAAGGATGCTAGGGGCGGGAAGCTTGTACCCTCTTAGGGCAAGCCTTTTAGACAGAAACTACATGCAAGGACATAGTAGAGAAAGATCTTGCCCCTAGAGGCAAGCCTTTAGTCTAGAGCCTAGCAGCATATAGATGTAGGGCAGGCGGCTCTTGCCTCTAGGGGCAAGCCTTTAAGCTAGAGGCTAGAGGCAATGGATTTAAGCCTAGGACTTCTTGCCCCTAGGGGTAAGCCTTAATAGCATATACAATATATACATTCTCGCCCTAGGGGGCAACTTAACCCTATAGCAGTAGTACTGTTTCCCACCTAAGTATGTTTTTATTACACTACGTTTTTCTTTATAATATTTTATATAATACTTTTTATACTATACTTACCTCTATTTATATTATGTATATTTCTTCTAACTTTAAATTTTTTCTAACTATACTTTTTATACTTTATATCTTTTTATATTATGTTTTTTTACACTATACTTTTTTCTATACTATACTTTCTTTTATACTTTTCTATATTATGTTTTATTTTATAATATTTTTTTATCTTTAACTTTTTTAATACTTTATATTTCTTTTTACTATATCTTTTTTTATACTATATTTCTCTACACTACTATTTTATCTATG